GCCTAGCAACTGTGACGACGCCAAACACAACCTGGTAGAAACGCAGCTCGAAATCCTGATGACCTTTTAATACTATTTAATGCTTTTTAATTAAATAATTAACAAATAAAGTTGGTAAATGATATCTTACAGCGTTTTTGTGCTACCATATTTAAAGCTGCACAATCGCAGTTAGCAGTAGTCATCCCTAATGCCAACTTATCCGTCGCTATAATTAGTAACTTTTCAGACAAAAAAAAAAAAATTTAATTTGTATCGACAAGTCAGGTTTTTTAATGATCGGTGATCAGCCAGACAATTGCAATTGGTGCACCATTTCTCCTGTCCCACTCTAGCTTCCACTCTGTTCTTACACTGCTAGAAGAACTAAAATCCCCTCCATCAACAGAACAAGGGAACGGCCTTCGGTGCACTGACGGGACAAAATTGGCCCTTAAATGCAGCCTTTGAAGGAATCTGGAGACTCTAACTCAGTTAAAGTGTTAAAGCTGTTATTACCGTAAACAATGGGTTGAGACTCCGTGGCCTGCTCCTCCTGTTTCCTCAGAGACTCAGAGGCTTCGAGTTTGTCCACCTGTGGGAAAACATTACCGAGTCAGACTTGAGCTGAAGAGTCGGCGATCGGCTCCTGAAGAGCACAGGCAGAGACGCCACGTTTGTAAAAAACAAAAAAAAACAAAACAAAACTGACCTCGGGGTTATTTCACTGGCTGACGGATGGGACCATTCCTGACAGGCGAAGATCAATACAGTCCAGATTTAAGTAAATAAATAAAAAAATAAAAAAACAGGCTGCCAGCGGCAGACCTTGCTCATGTGTTGGAGACCCTCCATAAGGCATGAGGATTAACTAGAGTTAAACAGCTACCTGCTACTCTAATCGAGCTTGGCTACAGGCGTCTATCAGATGGACATCCACCTATCCATGGTAACAGTTAGGGAATTAGGAGGAAAGACAAAGACAAAGAGCTACTGGACAATAATGGTCCCACCATCCAGCCACCCAGAACATGTATGAGTATGTAGAGAACCAACTCCTTATCACATTTGATTAAGGGAAACATAACACTCCCCCATTTTCCGCTGAAATATTCTACTTACTATGAAATGAAAAGTCAATCCAAACTCCAATCAGTAATACGGTTACTGATTAATATTGTAATACAAAAACATGTGTTATATTTAAATTATTTCACCTTAAACCAAGTCAATGTGAAAAAACAAAAAATTTAAACAGCTATGAGAAGTTGATTAAACAAAAGAAACAATTTGCTTAGGCCACCCGATTCATTTCTTTCCCCCCCTAAAGTATTTCCTTCACAGTTTAGAAACAAACAAGCAGGGAAGGGACAAAAGAAAGCAAGAACCAAGCTGCCCCAGAGAGCCTCTTCCAACACGTTTGGGTTCAGTTCTCTACATACGGCGACACAGAGACAACTACGGCCGATCTGGTTAAGCAGGCTATGCTGAGAAAATACAGGCTGCAGTTTCATTTGACAGGAGAAGGGGTTGAGAAACATGCTGAAGCAGCAGTTTAGTTCTGTTCTTCTTTGAGGGTGCATGAGAAAGACAAAGCTACAGCGGGAGGAGAGTGAAAGAGGGCGAAGGGGTGTGTGGGGGGGGGGGGGGGGACCCTTTCCGCCCAATCAAAGGTTTCCAGAAGCAGGAACAGCCAGCGGCGACATCTTTTAGCCTGGTCTGAGTGCTGCTGATGGCTACAGAGGTGGAGGCAGAGGGGGGGGGGGGGGGGGCGGGGTGGTTTTTTTTTTT